GCTATCGGGGTCTAGATCATCCGAAATATCTATATTAGACTGAAAAAATCGTTTCATCGATGGCACATAATTCGCTTATAACCCTGGCAATATGGGATTTGTTTCCAGTAGAGGCCCCACCGTCGATTATTTTTATTTTCCCACCCCCATCACTAGAAGCTAATTTAACCTCAATCGAATCAGAAACTCCAGATATTGCATTATTTTGAGTGCTATTTAATTCATTGTTGCGTCTCAGATTTACATTTTCATTAAAAAATAATTCATTATTTCTTTTAGTTTGAACTTCAGATCTTACATTATTTTGAGTGCTATTTAATTCATTGTTGCACTTTAGATATACATTTTAATTTATCAAAACTCCATTATTTTCTTTAAGTTGTACGAGGTGTATATTGAATTTATGCATAAAGTCCCGTCCGAGGATTATTGAATTTACTAATGTGTCGTCTGGCACCACCATCAAAGGGACTGATTTGATTTTGCCTCGGAATTTCACCGCACATAGATGGGTATCATATGAAAGGAGCCTAGCTCTGCCAACTCCAATAAATTTGGTTGGGATTGCATCTGGTGGCAGCGGGAGGGTTGATGGTGTTTTCGAACGTTGCACCAGACTAATCGGACTACCGGAATCAAAGATAGAGAACATTTTTGTAAAACTCGCGGGTCTGATTCGATTAGGTTTGCTGAAAGCCACACTTGCCCATTGTTTAGACTGTAGCAGGTCGTCATTTCAAGGTGAGTCTGTTAAGATGGATGCGGTGCAAGCTACTCTTTTTTTCCTAGGGCACTCCTTGTGTTGATGGCCCATCTGGTGGCAGTTGAAGCAGGAGTCTGGTGGTCTTAACGGCCCGGGCACGAGCTTTGGTAGTGCCCAAACCTGGAGCAGTTGAAACACCTCACAGATGACAGCTCGGCTGATGTGGCCGAGGTAGGGGTAGGCGCGGGCTTCAGCTTCGGGTGCAAGGTAGCACCGGCTTGTCTTGGGATAGCCTTCATACGGCGGTGTTCATAGCGGTCAATTTGGTGGATGAGATCTTCGATTGATGTTGCACCATACAGAATGCTGATGTTGTTGCTGGTGTCTGGGATGCCGTCTATTATGATATCCACCAATTCTTCCTCGGCAATGCCAGTTTTTGAAGCGATTGATTGCATGGCTACAACATAGCTTATGCAACTTTCGGTCGGTTTCAGCTGGCGGACCCGTAATTGGCGATATATTTCTTGTCGATGGACAGTTCGACGGAACATCTTGCACAGGGATCTTGCAAGTGGGTAAATCCCATTTGACCGATATTATTAACATACTCTTTTGCTGTTCCCACCAGGCACCGTCGTAGTGCGAGGCATTTGTCCCGCTCACCATACTCGCTTACTTCGACGTAATCTTCGAACTGCCCCAGCCACCTGTCTATATCGTAATGACTGTCGCCGCTAAACTTGGGTACGGCAGCCTCGAGTTCCTCGAAATTTATACGTCGATAGGCCGATGGGTGTGCTTCTTGCTGTAGCTGAGCTAACTCGCGCCGCAATTGTAAGATCTTAATTTCATTTTCTAGCTGATTGAGTTCCATGCTTACAGCGTTAGTGCGTAGCAATGGAGGAGGGTCCTTCTCATCGCGACAGGTATGCTGCTGGGTATTGTGTGTGCCGGGAGGGCTGCGGGGGTTACGGCAGCATTTGCGACTGGGTTATGTATATCGCTATTTGCCCAGGTGTAAATGGAGGTTGTGTTGGCTTCAGTGTCAGCAGACGTAGGGGGAGCGATGTTGGCAGCGGTGTTGGCGGCAAAGGAGGCAACAGTAATGGTAGCGGTTGGTGCAGCGGTAGGTGTAACAGTTATGACAGCGGTAGGCGCAGCGGTGGTGGCAGCGGCGGCCGAGGGTGCAGCGGTGGTGGTAGGAGCTGGCTTCACCATTTCACTACTGGCGAGTTCTTCCAATTCGCCGATGTTACTTTCATTATATAGGGTTCTTAGGGCTGCATTGAGGCGTCGGGTGCAAAGTGTATGCCGGCGGCCCTCAATTAGCTCTGAAGGACCTCGCGACTTAGATGACGATATTTGTCAAAAATTGTTGTGTTAAATTATTGGCGGTGGTTTTTACCCGACCTGAGATATAATTCTGGTTTATTTATTCAGCGGATGGCTAGTATTTTAGCCGATACTAATTTTTCTTAACACGTATGTAAAATCTCTCGAGCGGCGTTTTGACAAAATGGCCGAGTCTAGCTCTCGCTCTGTTCGCTTTCTTCTCCTTTTTTTCTATTCAACTTTGCCAGGACTATTAAACATACCACTAACGTAATAACCGGTTTAAATCTGATCTTACTTAAGGGTAATATCATTACAACATAATATCCGGTTTACATTTGATCTTACTTAAAACTAATATCATTACACACAAAGTGGCTCCCAAATTGTGGACAAATGACGCTTTGGACAAAATTTTACTAAATAAAATCCTTCATAAACTCAAAACTAATTAACAACAAACAATAAAAATTAAACAATTAAAGATTTTTGTGAACTAGCAACATTCTCCGAAACTTTGGAGAAAATCTATCCTCGCGTGTTTTAGAAAGTGCATTCCAAACTTCAATCCCGATTTCCTAAAACCAGCCGAAATTAACATACGACAAACTTTTACACAGGCGACGAAATGAATTATAATAATAATAATAGATTGGCGCTTACACATATGTAAGTGTTTGGCCGAGCTTCTCCTCCGATTTGTGGCGTGCGCCTTGATGTTGTCACGCAAAGAGGAGGGACGTACAGTTTTCCGCCGACTCCGAACGGTGATTGTATTTTAATGACAAGCTGTTTTTCATGGCAGAAATACACTCGGAGGTTTGCCATTGCCTGCCGAGGGACGACCGTTGTTAAGAAAAAACTTTTTTTCTATATTTTTGCGATGTTTCTTTGAACAGCGTTTGAACCCAGGTGCTGCTACATCACAGCGAAATGAATTATGTTATTGCCTTATTATGGCTATCTGCACAGTTGTCGTGCACTCATAGTTGCGTTATCATCTCTTCTGCAATTTTGAGCCGAGCACATGCATTTCAAATAAGGTCTGCACACTTGTCGTTATCGGCTAGTTATCGGCAAATCGTAGAAGATGCAAAAAGGGATAAGTACGACACTGTCGTTTGTTAATCGTTATGCACGCATTGTTTGTTCACATTTTAGGGGCAAAAATTAATGAAAAAGTTAATATTTGCATTAAAATTACACAAAAATAAGTATTTCGTGCATACACTCTGTAGAAATTATTAAAAAGTGGATAATTGTAATACAATTCAATAAATCTACGAGTTTTAACTATCAAATATGACGAAGTTGTAAAAGTCTCTGCGTGCGTACACAAAACACATTTCAGGAAAAGAAGAGAGATTAATGAAAAATTATGTCTAGAATGATTGCAGCACAGTTCATGATTTTTCAATTGCAGGTTTTTGTAAAAATTTTCCGAAAATATCAACCAAAAACGCAAAAATAAGCGAATATTTAGACACCAAATGAATTGAAATATCACGACGTGTGCGAAGGTTTCGTCGTCATGTAATCGTTGCATCATGATCAGAGGTGGGCACTACCACAAACAAGCGATCGCTAAAAGTGAGAATGTGTTAGTGTGCCTAATTCATTTTGCATGCCGACGCGTTCTCATCGTTACGCTCTTGCTTGTATACGTACACGTGATGGATGAAAGCCTAAACCTTTTGTTACATTAAAGTCATTTCGTGACCTTTTTGACTCAAAATTGTCAATATTTTCTAAACTGAAAATGAAAATATTTAGGTAAAATAACATTGAGACATCCTGCAGAATTCAAAGCTAAATTTAAATTTGAAAAAGTTGGTTGATTCAATTGCAAGAGAATTAATTTGAAAACTTACGTGAGCTAAATTAATATCATCTGATGACCCTTACTAGGCAGCGTTTTTTACTGAAGTATACGATATATATATATATATCGATAATTTTGATGACCTAATTAATATATGTATGAAATTTTTGTAATATATACAGGGTGTCCCAGAAGTAACGTGCCAAACTTTAGGGGAAGGTAGGTGGGGGAGTGAGCTCCCCGATAAACAAAAAGTTTTCAGGTAAAAGTGTCACCGATTTTGAAATATTTACATTTTTTTGAATTTAAAAAAAAATCCTGCCTGTTCATGTATTTTCTTTAACTGCATCTACAAACCTGGCTATACTTAGTAAATTTTTTTTTGTACAATACTTCCAGAAAGTTGCTTCTCCATACTCGAATGCAATGTAGTTAAAATATTTTAAGGATTCATCATAAAATTAGGACTATTTTGAGATTTTTAACTTTTTGATATTTTCTTCCCCAACTTTGACTATCTCTGGTGAAAAAAAAATTGTACTGAGCTATAACTTTACATTACATAAAAAAATTGCTCATTTAATAAAGATTTCAGAAAGGTGCCACTCTTACTGGTTCGAAAAGAAAAAAAGTTATAGCCGCTTTTGTGGGCAAAGGACTGAGACACGCTAGAATGTATTTAATAGAATTAGATTTAAGTTGCACTTGTTACCGACCAATGACATGCTAAATAGTACAAAGGTACATTATTACCTGCTCCTGACATTATTTTATGTTACTTACCGGAATTCGGACTAGAGTCTATAACAAGGGCTATATCTATCAATATTTTTTGTGAAGGAGGGGTTCACGTGAAATAAAATATACATGAGTTGTTTGAAGAAAAATTTATTCATTTATTGATAAAATATGCTCAAATTGGCGACCTTCTACTCTAATACAAGCTCGGCACCTTTTAAGAAGACGCTTTTAGAGATCTTAAACTCAATTGGGCCATCTCAGCAGCAGC